CTAGGACTGGATCTGGGGGTTCCCGGAATGTGGCAGAAATTCCTACTTGGTGGGTGGGGTAGGGGAGGTGGTGTGGAGTGGTATGGGGCATACCAAGGGGGTGGAAGAGGGTCTCACCCACACTGCACCTGGACTGGAACCAGTAGGTCCTGCCCGTGCAGGGTAGTGTAAAGCCTCCTACACACTCACCGGGCCTGGCCTCGAACTGGGTCTGTTTTCCTCATTTTGGCCTGAGGACAGAAGTAGAATCAGTGAGTGAATTTACTAAAAAATCAGAATGTACATAATATTGGAAATATCTAGTGAAAAACAGTAGCTTTTTAGATTTTTTTCCAGTCCGTTTAATTGTCCTTTCCCTGGGCCCAGAGGCAGCTGTATTTACTTTTATGTAAGCCGACATAGACTCATAACGATGAGTGTATGATTTCTTCCAATGCATTATAATTTTTTTTGTAAAATATAGACCAAATAAAGAAAAGAAATCTAATTTTAAAAGTTGTGACTGTCGCATTAAACTTTAGAAACTGTAGATGGTAAATAGTTGGAATAAGTTTCAGACACTTTTACAGTAAGTACTAGTGTCAGATCCTAGAGATACTGCACACTTTTTTCTTTAATCCAGTAAAATAGTGATCACTGTTTTCCTACAGAAATTTCTTTTTCTTTTTTCCAATTCAGGAAACTTTTATTCTTAAAATTAGAATTCTTAAAGTAGAAGGGCTAGACAATATATATTCAAAGATTTAAAATTTCTGAATTTATTTGAAATTATAGTACCAATTTCCAAGAAAAAAGCACCTTTTTCACAAGAAATTTGAATAAAGTCATAGCAAGATACACAAAAGTGAAATTGTCCAAAACTGATTGTAAGGAAAAAAAAATCATTAAATCATATAAATAAAAAATATTAGCTATGGAAGAACAAAACTACAGAAATTTCTACCTATTTTTTCTTAAATTTTATAACAATATCACTGTCAAGACCTTTTGTGAAACAATGTCTTTGACTTTAGTTTAAGTGGTCTGTAGGTTAATTTGTTTTCTCATGTTCCTTAGTTTGAATCAGAAACCACAACAACAGAAATGTAAACCCAAGGTTAAAGTAATCAGTGAATAACATCTCGAAATAGCATAGAAACAGCATGCATTAGGAAGATTCCTTTTTGGAACTTGTCTTCTGAAATTTTAATATCTTCATTATTTACCTTTTAAAACTATCAGAGTACTAAGTATTCTTGTGGGAAAGAAAATATGAAGTTTGTGCATTTCATTGAGTGTCTGATTTGTAATTTTGTATATTCAAAAGTGTTTTCATGAAATATACGGAGAGCACACATGAGTGTGTCAGAATCCAAGCAGGACGCAGACATTACTGAGGGATTTGGCAAATGATAATATAGGTGCTAGAATTGAAAAGCAAAAGACTCAGAGTAAAGATAGTGATGAACAGCCCCTGGGAACCAACTGTTATTCCTAGGTCAGAGGGATACTAAGAAGCAAAGCTATACTATAGCCCTCAGGCTGAGGCTATCAGAGATATTTGGAGCCATGGTAAAAGTGTCCAGAAACAAGCTGAAGCACTGGGGGAAGTACAGTTGTCCTGAGGTCCTCTCAGAGTAGAAGGGGGGTGCTTTGGCTGCACCTTTTCTCTTCCTTCAGTCATTTCTAGTAAGTTTCTTCCTTTGGTTGAACTGGGGCTTTGGGGGTGCCTGGGAAATACAGGCTGCCTTGTGATTTGAAGTACAGTAGTGAGATGGCAGGAATGGATTCGAAGCCACAGGCCCAGGCTGGACAAACCTGTGATGGAAACCTAGTAGTACTGATTATGTGCTACATTAAACAACAACAACAAAAACCCCATAAACTTGTAGAAAATTATATTTAATTGAAAACTGAGTTTCCATGTCACATTCTTTTTAAAATTTATTTAAATCCCTTCTAGAGAATATTTGTCTAACTTTAAAAAATGTATTTATGAATCCATGGGTTTGAAAGACTAAAATCAAATGTTTGAAGCTGTATTTCTAGTAAGTGCTGAGGGTGGAATTAAAGCCCTGCTTTCTAATAGTTTAGCTATAAACCCTTCCTATCTTATGCTGAGGAATGAGAAACAAAAATACAAGCACAAAGGTTCGGTGTGACAAAGGATGATCTTGATCAAGTCTTCAAGCTTCTCTTGCCTTTAGTGTGCACATCTATAAAAGGGGAATTATGACATCCATAATTCCTGACACGAAAACAGGTCCAAAATTGGACAAGTATATGGAAGACTCCAGGAAAAACTTTTGATATCTGAATTAGGTATTACCTATTTTGTATATGAAAAACAGGATGACCTTCTCTTTATTTTCCTACCTTAGAAAGGTTCTTAAATTGGTCAATATTCAAAGCTATTTTCTCTCTGGATTTTAATACAGCATTTCAGGTGTAGGTCATGCTAGAAAGTGGAATAATAAGGACTTTAAAAAGTATTTAATTTAGAACATATCTATTAACAGCTCTGTTGTGGAAACGACATTTTAAAAACTTGATGTTGCTATTCTTGTGTTTTTCCTCTAAATTTAGATCAGAAAGGCAGCAGAGACTTCAAAAAAGTCTAAAGAACAAATGCTCATGAAACAGCACAAACACGTGTGGTGGCAGGAACATCAACGGCTAAGTGAACTCAGGTGAGAACATGGGAATCGCCACAAGAACATGGAGAAACCCCTAGTCCTTGCCCCTACCTGCCAGCTGCCTTATGATGTTCTTGTTAATTAAACAATTATATCAGCATTTAAGGATATGGTTTGAATTCGAGTCAAATTTGCATCTTTTCTTCCTTCCATTTAATCTAGGATCTGCAAGGCACAAAGGTAATTGTGTCTCTCGGCCCATCATTTTTTTCTGCACTCCCCTCTCTTACTTGGATTGCTTCCAAAGGTGGCATATTCTACTATGGGTAGCCAACGTATAACACAGCATGATGAGTGTAACAGAAGGAAGTCTAAGGGCTCAGTTCTTCAGGGTCCCATGTGGCGTTGCATTTATCTTCACACTGTGGGAAACACAGACGGTAAAATGTAAACAATTTCAGCATGTGAATGGATCAGATTGAACTAGGGTGTTTTAAGTTGTTCAGTAGTTTTCTCTTTTTTTTTTACTAAATATTTTATTGAAGGGTAATTATAGAAGAGTGTATAAATCACAAGTATACAGCTTGATGAATATTCATATAACAATGCGCCTATATAGCCAGCACCTGCATCATGAAACAGAACATTACCAATGATAGAGGTCCCTGTGTATTCAGTAGTTTTCTTAATGTAGTTCATCATGACTTATTCAGTCTTGATTTTTGACTTTCGTTATTTTCACCAGTACTTAAAATTGAATTAAAGCAAAACAATTTTATATTAGATCTTAATTGTAACCTTCAGTGTAGAAATTTCTTTTCAAAAGTCATGGCAAAAAGAGAAGGCAGACGTGTTGCTCCTATATTTGATATATATATATACACATATATATATTATTGATTTTTGAATGTGTTTTTAAAATAATTTTATTGAGAAACAAATAGCAATGAGACAATTTCAAAACTGATTAGTAGGACAGTTTTAATAATTAATACATTGCATATTGTTGTCTTCTTGGTTATTCATTGTACAAGATGCAGACATGATATCCTGTCCACAAACACTTTGGTAGCTGTATATCTATCCTAACTAATTGAATGTGTATTGTCATGCATTTATTTTATGAGAAAATAGATAATCCTGTTACATTTTTTCTAAATCAAGTTTCCAAATATTCATTCGTTTTATTTTTTCTCTTGGCACCTTTCACATTACAGGTGCTCTTGTTCCCCCCAGTGATTCCCATATGTGAGGTAAAAGGCTCATGGTTGGCAAGGGTTTTATGTCATAGAATAGCTCAAAACAACATCAAAAATTATGTAGACTTTATCAGCCACCTTATGCTATAAAAAACTAAAGCAGACCCATCCTACCCGTCAAAAAAATCACCTTCATGCAAAGAAAATGTGTGAGCCTGTTGGATTTTTAAGAAATTTGCATAACTTGAAATATGATAAAAAGGCAAGCCATTAGGAACCTTTAATTATGATGTTCACTGATGCAAGCTCAAGTGTAAAAGAAGATGCTGGAGAAAGGTTTTTTTCCTTTAATCTTGACTGTCCATTCCCCATTAATTTGTGTATTAAGTTGTCCTTGAGCTGGATAAAGGAAACATATGCATACCATTAGAACAAATAATTCTGTGCAATGACTTAGAATGACACAAAGCCAGTGGAAGTGAAGAATACTCTAGTAAAAATGACCTTCATGTCTTAAAACTTTTAATGGCTGAAAATAGAACAACGAAAAGCATTCCAAGATCATTTTCTATGCTATTCCAGAATGTAGCCTAATTTATTATGCATTCAGTGAAATTCAAAACTAATAGCAACAGGGGTTAAGAAAATGTTTAGATCTATGGATAATTAAGGGTCCACCAGCATATCAGTAGTTTATCCACTTGCATTTGTCAGTCTTCAAAAATCCACACCCACTTCAAATAATCAAAACATTCTTATCTTTTACCACAAGACTGTATTTGAGAATCTTAGTGCTGTAGAAGATAAGTGCCTGCAATGGCATCTAACTTTTGTTGGGTAATTTAGTTTGTGTGGGCAATACGCCTGGCATTTCACGTGCTTTAATTCATTTAGTCTTTGCAGTGAGCCTACGGGATAGGTATGTATCATTGCTATCCCAGCTTTACAAATGAGACTTAAATTTCAGAAGATTAAAGTTAGTTGTTGTATAACCACTCTCAATAGCCCAATAATAGCCAATGAAATACAGATGTAATTTAAAAAAAACCTACCAACAAAGAAAATTCCAGGTCTGGATGGATTCACAGCTGAATTCTAAAAAAAATTTACAGAAGGGGCCAAGGAGA